AAAAGAAAGAGACGCCTTTTGTCCTCTCCCTTCGGAAGACTCTCTATTTGCTTGTAGATAGGTGTCCTCCCCGTCCCCACCCTTGCTTTTGTGTCTAGCTCTTCTCCAGATGTTTGCTCCAGTCCGGTGATGAACATGGCCATTGGGTTCATTTGGGTTGGTTCTTTTTTTATTTTTATTTTTTGATTTCGGTTCTGCTTTTCTTTGCTCCCCCTCCCTTTCCCTCCCCCATGAGATTCTGCGATGATTTCTAGGAGGAAATAAAGGAAAGGGGAAAAACAAACACTTTTTCTTAGAGAAGAGGAAAAAAAAAGAGAGAGAGAAAGACACTGTCGATTATTTTGCATTTCTTGCATCATTGTATAAAGCGCAGAGGGCAGGAGTGCAATATGGAAAGTGGCATGGCTACGGGATGGGGGCAGCCCCGCCACGGCCAGGGCAGACACCCTGTATGCTAATGTGAATGTACATAGTCTTTGCAGAGGTCCAAAAAAAAAAAAAAAGAATCCTATGGAAGGTAATAAAAGAAGAGACGTTTGCCAAATACCAAGAGAAGCCACTGACGTGCGTGCAGTTTAGGAGCTAGGTTTTAAGAAAAAAGAAAAACAAAACCGACAAAAAAAACAACCCTTCTCCCCCTCCCCACAAACTCGGTGTGCTCAGTAGGAGCCTCAGTCCCGGACCCGCAGCCTCTGTCACGTGTGGTTTCTTTTTAAAAAGAAAGAACAAAGAAAAAGGAAGGATGATTATTTTTTTTGCAAAGTTCCCAGTCGCTCGTCGCGGGGCAGGGCTGAGAGCAGGTGGCAGGATGCCCGTGTGTGGATATGCTTTTCTCTCCCTTCCCCTGTCCTGTAGCCGGCTGCGGCCTGCTAGAACCGCGGTCTGGGTCCGTGGCAGCCGGCGACGGGGGGCTCGGGGTCGGGGGCCGCGTTCGGCTCCGCCGTGCGTTGCCTGGGACCGGTGAACTGCGCAGCGGCCCGCGTGGTTCGCGTCTCCGTCGTGCTGTTTCCCTCCCTGGGTGGTCCAAGCTGGCAAAGCCCCCCCATCTCTCACAGGCACTTCCCCACGTAGCAGGGGAGGGCCGTGATGCCACGCAACCGTGTCTCTGGGCCCCGCGACCGCGTGTCGAGGCCGGTTTGCTGCCGGGAGGGCTGTCAAAGGCGCTGCGTGGGCATCGGCATGGCTGTTGCAAGACAGACCCAGGCTGGAAGTGAGGGGTGGCAAGGAGCTGCCATCATGCCCCAGGGTCTGGCCTGTCCCCACTGCCCCCACCCCGTCAGCTGTCTGGGTGGAGGTGAGGGGGAGCTTTGGGGCTGATTTCCACGGCGCCCGGGGCTTGGTTTCCCAGCTCTGAGTGCCCATCAGGTCTGACCTTGCATTTATTTGCTAGTTTGCCGCAGCCAGAAGCCCCCTCGCTTGCTAGCCCTGATGTTCCCCATCACGGTGACATGTCTCGTGACCCTATGGACAGGGTACTCTGTCGGGCACGTCGACTAGCAGTGGGGGGCAGCAAGAGATGCACGTGACTCCTGGCTCTGTCGGGCATCCCTGGCTGACTGAGGGAAGCCAGTGTTGAAGCCCCCAGGTCCCAGGAAAGCAGCAACCGCTTTCCAAAGCAAAGCCCACATAGCCAGCAGAAAAGTCCTGCCTCTGCAAAACCCGCTTCTTCGCCCGTGCCGTCCCGGGAGGAGCACAGCCAGAGCGCCACGCAGCGGGGCAGAGGCCTGGCGTTGGAGAGGGGAAGGCGAGGGCCTCTTCCTTGGAGCTACCCAACCAGACCGGCCACCTGCACCATCCAGGATGCCCTCCCATGCCAGCTGGTTGAAGCTGCCCGGGCTCCTGCCTGCTGTATCTCTGACGCGCTGGCAGTGCAGCTCAGAGCATCAAGGATGGCAGTTTGTGCAGGCACGTGGCATCGCTACCCAAAGCTGAAAGCAGAGAGGGTCGGTGTCCTAGCAGCCTCCAGGCCAGGCGGGCAGGGTGGGAACGTGGCAGGAGCAGGGTGGAAGAAGGGAAGAGGGGAGCTGCAAGAGAGGAGCCAGCGCCAGAGTGTAGGGGAGTGAGGGAGGGTCTGGGCTGATCCGCTGGTGGTGGGTCACGAGTCATGACGTGGCCAACCTGTCTGCCCAGGTCCTGCATGTTCCCGATTCTTTGCCGTCGTCACCCCCAGGCTGCGTGGGAAGAGACCGAGACCAGGCCAAAGTTTGGGGGTGCCCAATACAGCAGCCACAGGCATTGCTGGTGAACCAGAGTGTGGCAGAGGGTGCGTGCAGGCAAGCCAGGGCTGGGCCCCTTTGCAGCCCAGGCTGAGGTCTCAGCACCCCGGGGCCTGCAGGACCGTGGCCGGTGATGGGGCAGGGAGGTCAACAGGCGGCTCGACCACCAAGCAGCGCTGGAGCCCAGGGGCACAGCGGGCTACGGACGGGGTGGGGGCGAGGCGGCTGGTGCAGAGACAGGGGCTTTGTTGGGCTTTAAGCGTGACTCGCCACGGACCCATCTCCATGGTGACCTCCTCTTCCTCAGTTTCCAAATTGAAATCCAAGCTGAAACCAAAGCAGCCCCTTCCTGCCAGGTCAGCCTGCGCTGTCTCGCCGCCGTGCCTGCTCCTCGACGGTCCAGATGGCACCTAGCAAACCCCCCGTCCTGGGACGCCCGTACCTCCCCGTCTGTTCTCGTGGCTGAGCTCGCTGGGCATGGTGCGCAGCACCCTGGCAGCTGTCCCCGGGACGAGGTCAGGGCTGTGGGGACCCACGGTGCTTGCGTCTTGTGGGCCAAATGCTCCTGCCCCCCTCCTGCCCCTTGCAAGCAGCCAGACCCCAGGAGAGCGTCTCTCAGAGACATTATACGCAGGGCTGCTGGATTAGGAGTGTGATGCCTGCCCTCAGGGAGACCCCCCTCTGCCATCCCTGCATCCTGGCTGTCTCGAGGAGGGGCCCAGGGATGAACCAAGCCATTTCCCGGCTTCTGGGTTGCTGGGGGAACATCTCAGCAGCAAGCTTCCCTTGTCCGCAGTGTCCAAAAAGCAGATGTAAACACAGAGCAGGGGAAACGGCCCCCAAATCCCCCTGGATTCAAGGCTTCTACTCAGTGGGTCCCGGGGTCCAGGCCGGCTCTAGCAGCTCAGCTGCAATCCAGGAGGATTTTGTTCAAATTCTTGCACAAGAATCAAAGCCATCAGGAGTGCAAGGTGCTCTAGCGTCATCCCACCGGGGCTCATGGCTTTGGATGCAGCCAGATTCAGGGGAGACCAGCCCAGCCCAGCCCTGGGTGCAGCCCACCCTTGGGGCAACTCTGCCGTGCCAGCAGATGTATGCCGGGGTGGGGGTGCCCCCCTCGGCCCCCTCATCTGCTGCATACACACATAGAGCCGGACAGCCGGCTGCCGCGTGAAACTGTGCAATACTTGAATGGGAGGGAGGAGGGGTGCTGGGTGCCTCAGCACATCCCGAAACCGCTCCGAGAAGGGAGAAAACAGAAATCCACCCCCCCACACACGCGTCCTGCCCTGCCCGCCCCGTCCCTGCTGTTTGTTGGTTTCCGTGGCCGTTGCAGAGAAATGGCGCCGTGATCGGAGTTTTTCGGCATGCTGTCCCTTCCCCTCGCTGTTTCCTACGTGTACTGTATGTTTGACCTGTGAAAGATGTAAACATTATGATTCAGGTTCTGTCTGTTCTTAACTCTGTATCTGTGTAATAAAGACGATTTACTATCACCCCCAGGCCTCGGCTGCGGTGGTCCCATGCCCCCCTCCCCGGGCGAGCAGCCGGGTGTGGAGGGGGGCTCAGCCCTGCTGCATCTTGGGTGCTAGCGGGGGACTCGGGTGGATCTAGCATTTTGAAAAGGGGGGTGCAACATGGCCAGGTGCATCATCACCTCTAAAACAACACACATTTCTCTCCTGTTCAAAAGAAGCTAGCAGCGTGACTCATATGCTAGGGCTGAGCACCGCATGATTCGGTTTGAAGAAGCAAAAAAGCCAAATATCACTTCATTGGAAAGAGTTCAGATCAACCTGACAGGGCTGTGAAAGAGGAGCTTCAGTGACCAGGAGCAGCGACGGGGCGGAAGAAAGGCTAGCTGGATGAGTGGAGCAATAAAAGGGATGAAAAAGGAGAGAGGGTGGTTCGCACCTGTGGGATGAAGAGTTTCTAAGGGGTCGGGTAGACAAGGAGCCGCATGAAGGCTCTTTCTGCTGCACCAGTTTTTAAACCCTCTTATGGGAGCAGGGTTTCAAGATGGGCCTCACACCTAAGGACCTTGCCTGAAAATACATTGCCACCTCCGTGGCTCGTGGCAGGGACCCCAGGCCCCTGGGCCACGAGGGTGGGTGGGTTCAGGGAGCCTGGCACTCTGCGTTGTCTCGTGCTTGGGATATGCAGGACAGGTCTCCAGAGCAGGTCACGTTCCCACCCGGGCTCTCTGGAGCCCACCAGAGGATCACATGGACCTCATGGGGTGCCTCCTGCCATGAAAAGGATGGTCCCTGCCAGTTTATGGCCAGGACTCCTCCCCGGGGAAGGGTGCTGGGTGTGCTGGCAGAGCCCCCAGACCTACCCAGCACCCCTATCTGGATCTGGGCTGCTAGGGGCAGGGCGGCCAGGTCCCTGGCTCCGCTGGCTCCCCTCCTGGAGGCCTGGGGACCCCTAATCTGAATGACTTGGGTGGCAAGGCTGCCCCTGCAGGGTGGTGCAGCCACCTCTGGGGTGGGACGCAGCAGCTGCTCATCCTGACGCACTCCTCAGCTGAATAGCCCAAAAGCCTTGACCTTGACCCTGCTCCCTGGGCGGTGCAGAACCAACCCCCAGCACCCTGCAGCATGCTCAGCAGGTCGGGACAAGCTTCCCAGGGGTGCTGGAGGGGCTTTGCAAGCCAGCCTGCACCAGGGGTGAGCAGCTGGCAGCCACAGCTGCAACCACTGGGCAAGCCAGCCCCAGGCCCCGCCTCCTTGGGAGGGCAAGCCGTGATTGGCTGCTGATGTATCAAATGGGAGAAGTGGCAGGGCAGGTGGGGGCTGCTGGTGGAGCTGCGATGTCCAGGCTGGGAGCAGGGTAATGGGCAGGGGCATGTCCCAGTAAGGCTTGTGGCGGTGCTGGGGTGGTGGGTACTGGGATGGTGCAGCCCTGTCCTACCTGCTGCATATCCAGGTCTCAGGTGCCCACTAAGCACCCGGCTGTTTCTGCCTGGGGGCCTCTGGGCCAGCCCTTGCTTTACAGCAGCGTCTCTCACCCCATGGGCTGTGATGCAAAAGTGAATATATGAAAGGGCTGCAAACAAATGTTAACAAGAGTTTCTTTTCTCCTTTCAAGGAGAAAAATACAGGAAACCGGAGGTTTTCCCTTGCAGGGTCCTGGTCCAAAAAAGGTTGAGAAATGCTGCTGGAGAACAGGGGTCCTGGAAAGCTCCAAGGAGACCCCCACGGGCCAGGCAGCATCCCAGACCGTGCTGGGCGCGTGTTGGCCTGAGGACCTGCCCTGCCGCTCCCCTGGCTGCTCATGAGAATTGCTAGGGGCTGGGTCAGACCCTGGGTCCACGTTGCCCAGTCTCCCATGAGAGCAGATGCTGGAAGGGCATGTGGACTGGGTCTGAGCTGGGTTTCCCCCTGCTCCTCTCCTGTTTGCAGCCTCCAGCACTGAAGGTCCAGGCAGGTCTGACCGTGCCCCGCGCTCCCTGCTCGATAGACGCCAATGCCCCTTTCCTCCAAGCACATGTCCGGTCCCTGGGTGAATCTGGCTCTCAGCTTCCACCACATCTGGTAGCAATGAATCCCGTGCTTGAAGGACGCGCTGCTCTGACTTGCCTGGTTCTCTCCCTGTCCCTGTGAAGCTCGTTCTTCCTGGACCCCTCTGGGATCTGGTGGCAAGACCCCACGGGGGCCCTAGTGACGGGGGACTCCTGGGATGTGGTGGAGGCGGCTACCCGGCAGAAGACAGATGAGGACTCGGACCTGAGCCAGCTGGAGGGAGTCAGCGTGGAGGAGCTGGAGGTGGAGGACCCGGTGAGTGGACCATCCATGGCAAAGGTTCATGTTGTCCTAGCTGGGACCTGCTGGGGGGCAAAGGGAGAGGACCCCCCCCTTGCAGGGGTGGTGAGGTCCTGGCCCTGCCTAGGGGGCTGTGTGCACCTGTGAGCATTGCCAGCACCTCGGGGACCAGGCCCCTATGATGCTTTGGGGTGCTACGCAGAGCTGCTCTATGATGCTTCCTCATTGCCTTGAGAGAGGATGTCTGAACTTCTGGGTGCATGGGGGGGACTCATGGGAAGGCATTGGAGGACTATCACCCCTCCAGGGATTTAGTCTCCAGGGTAGCAGAGAGTCACTGGGGGTTTAATTCTCTTGCTGGGGCATACAGTGGGGTATAAAGCAACACCAGTTTGGAGCAAGAGGGTGAGGCAAGGGGATGGTAGGGCCGCTCCACTTCACATCAGAGCCCAGGCACAGCAAAGGCACCTGCAGGGAGTGTGATATCTCCATCCAGCCTTTGCAGAGTATTTGGCACAAAGGGGCTTCTGCTCCTGCATCCCTAATACCAGGCTTGTTCCTCCACCTGAGATGCCTCAGACCTGGAGGCAACTCCCGGGTCTCTAAGGGAGTAAATCGAAGCAGACCCACAGAAATGGGGTAGAGCTCACAAAAGCTCCCAAGCTTTGGAGCCACTGGTGCCCTGCTGCCCCTCGTGCTGCTTGGTTCTCACCTTCAGTCTTGGCTTTGTTAGGGTACGTGGCTCTGGTTTGTCTGCAACCAGCTGCAACTCTGCTCCCCTCCAGGCTGTTTGAGTTGCAAATGCTGCAGGGGAGCATTTGCCGCCAGCAAACGCTGCTTTGCGGTGGTGTTAAGGACACGCTGCTTAGACTCCCCTCTTCTCCAAAGCATATGCAAGGAGCTGAAATCTCTCCTGTAAGCCAGGAGCAAGTGTGAACAAACGGCAGGTGAGCGAGCCAGCAGCCTGACCCATCTTGTGCTTTTCTGATCAGCCGTGAGGACCGCAGAGCCCGAACCCCCTGGCTCCTCTTCCTCCATGTCCCTGATTCCCAATGCCCTCAACTTCCTAAGAGCAAGGTGCAAGCAAACCCTGCCTCTTTCCCTGTAAAACTCACCTGTGCCAGGTGCTGCAGACCGAGAATAGCCAGGATGGGCAGGGGGAGCAGCTGCTGCAGTATCCCCTTCGGGCACTGTGTTCTCATGCCCGCGGCATTGCGGCTTGGTGTTAGGAGCTGGAAGCCATCAAGGCCAAGGTCCGCGAGATGGAGGAGGAGGAGGAGAGGCTGAAGGAGCTGCAGGCGGAGGCCCAGAGTCACCTTCTCATGGCAGCGGAGGCAGGTACAGTGCTGCAGCCTCTGGGTGGTGGGGCAGGGGCCATTAGGCAGTGGGGGTGCTTCTCTGGGGTGCATCAGGGTGGGCTGTGTGAGTTGCGGGGTCTCCAGTACCATCCCCTGAAGCTTGGTCATTTCAAAGTCTCCCTTGTCCCGGCAGGGTTTTTCTTTCCTAGGACAGCAGAGGAAAAAATCAAGGCTGATCAGAGATCTGTCTATGTGGGAAATGTAAGTGGGGAGAAAGGGAAAGCACCGGTGGCTTTCTGGGCAAAAAGCTCAGCTGGTCCATTGCTCCTTGTACTAACAGCCATTAGTACCTGGAGCCTCCTCGAGCCCCTTTCTGGGAGCAGCTGTCTTGAATTTACTGCTTCAAACTCACCTCCTTGATTTCCACCTGTTGCAAGGGGTTGGCTGCAGGTCTTGGCTGTTCAAAATCCTGAGTGGTTTGATCAGAGTCGTTATCATGTGCTGCGGTTTCTGTTTCCCCAGCTGGGTGATCCTGTCTTTTGGGACTGGGGGCATCTGTTTGGGGTGGGATTTGGGTACCATGGATCACCAAGTGTAAGCCCGACTGAAGTGACTTGTAGGCCTTGTGAACAGGAGGTTGGGGGAATATGGGGGTGTGCAGCTTCCAGCACGCTTCCTGCCAGTGAACTCCTTCGTGGGAATCATTGCATGAATGCAAAGACAAAAACTGTCCGGTGCTGCCTGAGCTTACGTGGGTTTGGACTGGAGTGAATGTGCACAGAAAGGTTTCAGCAGCATTCATCTGATCCTGGATAACTTGCTGGATCTGAAGTAACAGGAGCTCTGTATCCAGACTCAAAGATGCAGAAAACCCCAGGCAATGCTGGAAGCAATAGAAGCAGCCTCGGAGCATGCAGGTCGCATCTTTGTCCTCTCATGCTGCAGACAGGACCTGTTTGGCATGATGCAAACCTGGCTGCAATGACACTGGCATTGAGCCACTTCCCGATTTATAGCGCCCAGCACGGCGGGCTGCCACTGGCTCATGTCATTGGTGAGAGTTGCCTGTGTAGGAGCTAGGAAAGGGATGCCTGCTAGATGGCCTCTTGGCATTGTTAATGAGGCATGAGTAGCGTGGGTGGAAGGCTGGGCCGTGCCCTTGGTGCGTGGCTGAGCAGGGCATGCTTTGGCAGGTGGATTACGGTGGAACAGCGGAGGAGCTGGAGTCCCATTTCAACAGCTGCGGGCAGGTCAACCGCGTTACCATCCTCTGCGACAAGTTCTCTGGACATCCGAAAGGGTCAGCTGGGCTGGTGGCACCTGGGATGGTGCAGGGGGGTGCACGCTGTTCTGAGACCCCCAGGCCTCTGCCACCCTGCCAACCTTGACCCCCCAGTCTCTCTTTCCCTGGCTTTGGCTGGGGATAGCCACTCTCCCCATCTAAGCCCTGCCTTGTTGTATAAAACCAGCCATGTATTCGTGCGCTGAGTGAATGGGGGCGAGCTGCCTGCTCCGGGAAGGGTGCTCGTCCATGCATCTCTCCACATGCTCATGCTCCTAGTGGAGTGTAACTCATGAGAAGCTATGGGGGCAATAAGTGAGCTGTCTGTCTGCAGGCCCAGCAATGGGTCAGGGTCCTTGCTACGGCATGGATCCATTGCTCACAATGTGGGGAGGGAGAGGAAAGCTCCTCCGACACGGTAGATCCCATATTGGGTCCCCGTGTGTAAATGCCCCCTTTGCATCACAAGTGCACAGATGTGTTATGGCAATTTGCCCTGCATGATGTGCCAGCTGCTTCCATGGCTTCCCTGGCGAGGAAGTCTCCCTGTCTGAACCAGACAAGTGGGGATTTGTTAGTCAAGTGCCGAGGAGGCTCGTTGTGCTCGATTGGCTGCTAGCTAAGCACTGGCCATGGGAGAGCATCAGCACCAGGCTCAGCGGGGTCTGCCTGGGCGCCGCGGGCCGTTCACCGGCAGCTTGGAGCCAGCAGAGATGCAGCCTGGCCTCCCAGGAGGCTTCCCCTTGTTTCCAAGTCCCCTGAGCCAGCAGGAAGCTTAGCAGCCATTTCAGGTCCCTCTTCTGACTTTTAACCATGCAGCAGAGCCTGCCCCATCTCAGCTGGGAGCACAGGTGTCTGCTTAGGGAGAGCTGGGTTGGAAGCTGCTGGTTTGCGCTTGAGGTTTTAGCTAGAACCTGGCTTAGTAACCCCATGGGCCGGGGACCTGCATTGGCGTCAAGCATGCTTCCAAACACGGATGACTGCGGTTTTAGCTGTGGTGTGCCAGGGTCTTGGATGGGCAGCTGTCACCTTCTTGGTGCCAGCTGTAGCACTGTGGGCTGGAGCATCCTCTCTGGGCTGTTCCCTGGCGCCCTTAGGAGCGGTAGAGCAAAGGGGTTTGTCCTCCTGTCACCTCCTAGGTACGCGTACATCGAGTTTGAAGACCAAAGCTCAGTGAAGGCGGCTGTGGCACTGGATGAAAGTGTGTTTCGTGGCCGGGTCATCAAGGTGAGGCTGGCAGGAGTGACTGGGGGCGTTATCTTCCAGGTTTGTGCCAGGCTGGGCTAAGTTAGCGGTGCCCAGGCTGGCTAAGGGTTCCCAAGCTCAGCTCGGGGGATGAGGACTGCTGTCGTTTAGGCACCTGGCTTCAGCACGGGCAGTCAGGGCTGTGCTCTGTAGCCTGGGTAATGGAGACGCCATGTGCTCCATCCCACCCAGCTGCTGGCAAATTTAAGACCCCTGCATATGCCACCCGTGTGCTTGGAGGTGGGAGTTTCCTGCTCCCCAGGGCAGCGAGGGGGCAAGCTCCAAGCCTTTGGCTGTGTCCTAGGTGCTGCCCAAGAGGACCAACATGCCAGGCATCAGCACGACCGACCGTGGCGCCTTCTGGGGCCGTGCCCAGAGCAGGGGGGGCCTGTGTTACGGGGCAAGCTTCTGCAGAGGGCAGCGAGCCTGGCCACGCGGCAGGGTGTACAGGTGAGGGCGGCGTTCCCTGCTGCTGGGGGGCCAGCAGTGGAGCACAGCATCACAGTGTACCCACACCAAGCAGGGCTCGCGTGTGGTGGCCTGGTAGCCAAATGTAGCTCATCACTGCCACGAGGACAGCTTCTCCTCGGTCCATCCCGGTGCTGGGAGATGATGCTAAGCATCAGCCTAGTACTGTACATCCATCCAGCTTTGGACCAGGCATTAGAGCACAGGCTCCAGGCTTCAGGCCATGGGTGTGCTGTATCCCTGCTGCCTCTGCTGGGAGGGACGACCCCTTCAGCCTGCTCCTGGGTTGGCTCTGCTCTGCTCCAGTCCATTTCCTGGCTCCCAGTGGGTTCCTGCACAGTCTACCAGCATTGGGGTGCTTCAGAGTCTACAATGGTTAGCTCTGACTCCAGGCTCAGCAAGCTGTGCTGCTTAGCAGGGGAGGTGAAGGATCCCCCCAAGGGTACAGGGGTGCGAGGGCTCACGGGTTTCCTTTAGTCGAATTTTCTTCTTGGGGGCGGAGGGTTTGCTGCAGGAAGAGGGCGCACAGCCGGTGCTGGGCACACAGCCCAGGTATGCTGCCTGTGAGGCCTGGGTCCATCAGGCCTCTGCCCGTGCTTCAGGTGGGCTGGAGAGCAGGCATCGCTCTGCTTTTATAAGGGACTGGCTGTGCACTCTGACGCTGTTTGATCTTGTCCAGGAGCCGGGGACGGTTACTGCCGTGGTATTCTCCCTACTAGACAAGGACAGGATTGCGCTGGAGGTGGCAACAGGACTGCATTTAAAAAAACAAAAGGGGTGGCAGGGTGCTGAAAGGGAACCTAGGTGAGCAGAAAAGTGTGGGGTGTCTTGTCTGTGTGGGGTGCAGCAAAGGGGGTGCTGTATTCTGTGCCATGCTGGCACCTTTCCAGGCATTTTGGGGTTGCCCTGTGGGTCATTCTTAGGGAGCCCATTCATCTCCCTGGGAGGGAACCCCACATTTCTGAGCATGGCATGACTGGAACAGAGAAACTGAGCTCCCCCCATAGCTGTTTTCATCCTGTAGAAGCTGCAAGAAATGGGGTTTGGGCACCTAGAACAGTCAGCCCATGTGCCAGCTGGACCAGAGCTGTCAGGGGCATCTTGCTTTCTCTGTCACACTGAGGGGTCCAGACACAAGAGCTAGGTGCCTTGAATTCTGTTTTCTGGGACCCACTCATTCAGCTGACCGGTACCCGGGCTCGGTGGGATATCTCTTGGGCGCAAGCAGATCCTGGAAGCAAGGTGGGATTTCTTCTACCCCCTGAACTGTTGATGGGAGTGGAAGGGAAAAACCCTTGGTGAAGCAGCTAAGTCAGATTCCACCCCCATCCAA